TGACCAAAGCACAGAGGGGATGAGAGCCCTTCTCACACGGAGCTGATTTCACCAGGGCTTCCTGACACTCTTGTTTCATTGGCAGAGGGCTTTTTATATTTGGTTTCTTGTTTGGTTTTTTTTTTTTAAGGTGATTTTCTTGTATTTTTAAAGGTGATTTTTAGTTTGTTTTTAATGTGATTTTTTTGGTATTTTTATGTGATTTTTTGGGGATTTTTTAATGTGACTTTTTGTATTTTTCTGTGATTTTTGGTGGGGTTTTTATGGGATTTTTTTGGTAGTTTTCTGTGATTTCTTTGTATTTTATTGTGATTTTTATGGTATTTATAAGGTGATTTTCTGTATTTTTAATACAATTTTTTGGTATGTTTATGTGATTTTTTTCTATTTTTAATGCAATTTAAAAAATTTTTTTAAGGTGATATTTTTTGTATTTTTAAGCTGATTTTTTGTATCGTTTCAATGTGATTTTATTTTTATGTGATTTGTATTTTTATGCGATTTTTTTAATGTGATTTTTTTTGTCTTTTTTTAAGCCGAGTTTTTGTCTCGTTTCATGTGATTTTTCTGTATTTTTCAGGTGATTTTTTTTTCCTTTTTAATGTGGTTTTTTAATATTTTTAAGCTGACTTTTTTGTCCTTTTTTAATGTGATTTTCAGTATTTTTAATGTGATTTTTTTCTCTTTTTTTAAATGGGATTTTTTGCATTTTTAATGCAATTTTTTAAAGGTGATTTTTTTTTTTTTAATCTTTAAGCTGACTTTTCCCTTTTTTTAATGTGATTTTTAATCTTTTCTTAAATGGGATTTTTTTATATCTTTAACGTGATTATTTTTAACGCGACTTTTTGTATTTTTAACGTGATTATTTTTAACGCGATTTTTTCTATTATGACATTATTTTTTATATTTTTTAAACTGATTTTTTGTCTTTTTATAAATGACATCTTTTTGCATTTTTACATGATTTTTTATATTTTTGATGTGATTTTTTGCATTTTTTTTGTCTTTTTTAACCCTTTTTTTATCTTCCTTAAACCCCGATTTTCTCCATTTTTCACTCAGCTTTTTTTTTTTTTCCTTTCAAACACTTTTTTTTTTTTGCATTTCCCTTCGAGCCCAACTCCCTCTTCTCCCCGCCAGTTGCTCTCTTTTGTGGGTGACACCGCCCTGCCCTGGCCCCCCTTTGCTAACGGTGCCTTTTCTGTGTGTTTCTTTCTCCTTTCTCTCTTCTCTTCCATGGCTCTGACGGATCCTGCTGCCGTTTGCGCGTGGCCTCCCGCCCCGGATGACCGATGACCTCAAAATGGGTGTCCACGACTAACAAATTGACAATTAACATCTATTTTTTTTTTTTTTTTTTTTTTTTTTTTTTTTTTTTTTTTTTTTTTTTTTTTTTTTTTTTTTTTTTTTTTTTTTTTTTTTTTTTTTTT